GTGACTGATGAAGCCATCGTTAGTAGCGTGGGCAAGGCGGCCGATCCCGATGAGCAACGACAGGAGTAGCCAGAGAAAACAACAAGTCCGCAGGATGTGCTTAACGCCTTCGACACAATTCGTACGTTTTTCGGCGAGCACGACGACGACGTGGCGTTGGACTATTTTTTACAATGTAAGTCGAAAGGCATGAAATTGCTGCATGGTAAGGCCTGCCAAAGTAAACTTACTGACTTTTGGAAATAAAATGTTTTTTTTTTCTAAGTTTTATGTCTTTTCTGATGCATTCTCGCGCCAATGAAATTCCCGCAAGAGCGAAATTTTGGGCTGTCCCCGCCAATTTCGTTATTGCGGGTTTCAACTGTATGTGCAAGAGAAAAATTTAAGGGCAATGCCACTGCCAGGCAGTGGTGCTCGTTCTACCGTGCTGGTCTTACCACGCGCAAGCACAGTGCCACCTCGTGCTCAGAGCCTCTTAAAGCTAACTGTTAACAAACCATGACACACACGTGTGCCATAAGGTGCAAACAACTTCACAGGAGCTGATAGCACCCCCACAATGTGTTAATCTTTTAAATGTGAATGAATTTTCAGGAGCGAAGCTCCTTAAGGCGTGGGTCTGTACATCCTCCGTGATATGTAGTTGTAGTAGTAGGTAGCCACTTCTAGTATTGTTCTTGCATTGTTCACTAGATGGTGGTACTTGTAGTTGATACAAGTACCGCCATCTTTTCCCAAGCAAGAAAACCACATTGAATAGTCGTTACCAGTATTGATGTATGCAGATGATATAGTAATAATAGCCAACAACAAGGAAGACCTGCAGAGATTGATAGACATCTGTGGTAATGAGGGGGATAGGTTAAATTTCAAGTTCAGCAGGGAAAAATCAGCAATCATGATTTTTAATGATAACAAATGCTGTGAGCATAAGGTACTGGAAGTCACGCTAGAAATGGTGGATAAATACAAATATTTGGGCGTAAGGATAAATAACTTGGCTGAGTACCTAAGGGAGCACGAAAGATGCGTAATGACTAAGAGTAACAGGAATGCATGTGTAAAAAAAAAATAGGGCATGTGGAACTACAATAGGTATGACGTGAGAGGGATTTGGAAAGCATTTGGCAACGCGGTCTTGTGCATGAAATCAGAGGTTCAAGCAAGGTTGGAAATTAAACATTGTGGCATAGGTAGACTTGCTTTTGGGAGCACACTGGAATACCCCATATCAAGGAGTACAGGGTGACATGAGATGGACATCGTTTGAGTGCAGGTGGGGACATTTTTTTCTCCGTCATGCCAGCTCACAGGGTACTTCGGCAGCTTTAGACAATGTACGTTAGTTTCACTGCAGCCTTATATTATGTCATCCTTCATGTGGTAGTAAAATAACGTCTTTTTATCATGTTTAATTTTAATGGCAAAGTAGGAGAAGCCAACAGACTCCGTGAGCGAGCATCCTAATTTCGTGAGGGGTAACGCCTGTTAGTACAAGATTGGAACACAAACCACAGCTCTGGAGCAAGGAGGAAGTAGCAGTTCTATCTTTCAGGTGCCGAGTTGCCCACAACACTTTGCGTGTATTTATTTCTTCTTGCAGTTGAATTCTCCGTTATTTCTGCTCTTACATGGCCGTTTCAGCATCACCGTCACTGTGCACTCGTACGTGCAGGAACTGGAGCTTTATGACTGACCTCTCTCCCAACATCCACTCCGCAAGGTCTTTCACAGAAATTTCTTGATAAAAAAATTCTGTGTGAGCTGCCTGTTTGATAAAAACGTTAGTACTGAATTCCAGCCATTGATAACTCGTATTGAAAGAACCACTGATAACTTGTATTTAAAGGTACTAGATCAAAAGGCGTATCATGGAGCATCAATTATGTGAGATATTGGCATTCAAGAAAGTTGACAAGAAGGTTGGAAAAGTAGTTTTACGCTAACGAACTCACGAGTCGACTCAGTATGCTCACCTAGGCTATGAGTCTGTGAATGAGTCGGGCTGAGTAATATATTGTCGATATTGAGTCCGAGTGAATCCAATAGAGAAAAAGTTTAGTGAGTCCGATTTTCATGAGCCCTGAAAGGAAAAAAAAATACTCATACCTCGATATAACGAATCCAAATATATTGAAATATTGGTTATAACGAAGTAAATGAAAACTAATCTTGCAATGTAGATATAGTGTTAAAAATACACTCAAACCTCGGTATAACGTAACGGGATATAACGAAACAATGGATATAACGGTAAATGAAATTCCCCTTGAAAGCCCTATTGAAAACCATACATTTTAAACCTCATTGTAACGAAGTAAAATTGACCGGTAAATGAATATAACTAATTGAGTTAGTCTATCAAATAGTATATAAAAACAACAACTGTAGTGTGTTAAGTATAGAGTTTTCTGCGGAGTTTGATGCTCCTACGGCGCGACTCTTTCAAAACCACCACGCCGACCTTACAGCCATGCCATGCGCATTTGAGTGAGCCGCCCTTCTCGCACAGCCAGCGGAGAGGATTGAGGAAGCGCTCAGCGGGTCACATGACTGAAAGCACCGAGAAAGGAGGACTTTCTGTGACAGCTTTCTTCTTCTTTTTTTCCCTCTCTCTACGCGTGCGGCCTTGAAAGAAAAGGGGTCTCTTAGTGCAGAGACGGAAATGGGAGAAGCATGGCACACGCGCATCGCATATCGGCATTTGAGAGAGAGCAAACAATGTGCCACACTCTTTCCTTTTCTTCTTTTCCTTCTTCGCGGCCAGGGTTGAGAGGTGCCGCCGCGGGATTGGGCATTGTGCTGAGAGCATTTTCTGAGCGCGGTATACCATAATTACTCGAATCTAACGCGCACCTTTTTTACGGTTAAGTGAGTTCATAAATCGCATGCGCGTTAGAATCGGTTACGAAAAAAAAAATGAATGCAGTCATTCTATTGCCGTCGGCATTATTAAAATGGCCGCCCCCTACGTGCGTCGGCATGGCGCATTGGCCATTTCTGCCTATGTGTTTCTCATGTGCGACACTTCGTACGTGTGCTGAGGAGTTCGTCATCTTGTAGTGCATTTGCATTGACGGCATGGAAGGGCCGACTCCAAAAACTCGAGTGCACCACGATGCCGCTTTTAAAAGAAAAGTCATCGCGTGTGCAGAAATGGACGAAAATCGGGCCGCATCGCGGTCGTTCGGAGTTCCTGAAACGTGCGTGCGGGACTGGTGGAAACAAAAGCAGAAGATTGTCAACAGCAAAGCTTCACGCAAAGGCTTCAGTGGACCACAGCAGGGTCGGTTTTTGCAAATTTAAGAGCTGCTCGGCGAGTATGTGCGTGGGCAGCGAGCGGCACAGCGGCCCGTGACGACAGAACTGCTCCAAGTGCAGGCTATGCAGTTAGCCTTAGAAAAAGGGCTAATGCGGAGCCAGTTTAAAGCGAGCAGGTGCTGGCTAACTAACTTTATGAAGAGGAAAGGCTTTTCCCTCCGAAGGTGAACGGGCATCTGCGAAAAGTTTTCCAGAGGAGTACGACGAAAAGCTTCACAATTTTCAGAGGTTCGCCCTAAACTTGCGGCACAACAACGGCTACCTGCTTAGGCAAATCGGGAATGCCAATCAGACGCCTCTTTACTTCGTCATGCCTGGCACCACAACCGTCGAGAAGAAGGGGGCGAAGCAAGCTCGCCTGCTGACATCGGTCCACGGTAAAACTACAGTGACGGCAATGCTCTGTCACACGTCAGATGGGCACAAGCTTCCCCCGTACCTTTTATTCAAATGGAAGACGCACCCGAAAGGAGTTAATTTTTCGAGTGGTGTGATTGTGCGGGCCAGCGAGAAAAATGCGTGCGTGTTGCAATCGATGTCTTACTTTTTTTTTCGTCGTGGAAATCGGGTGCACGTTACAATCGAAGGCGCGGTAGAATCGAGTAAATACGGTACTAGAATTAACTGTCGCAAGTGCTTGTGCGTTCGAATTGCAGGGCGTTTTCGCCCATTCGAATACACATAGCTTTGATGGGACCTCAGCGTGAGTTCGAATTCACAGGAAGTTCGAATTAAGCGTGTTTGAATTAATTTGGTTCGACTGTGTTTATTTTTCATTGCACGTGTGGTCGCGTAGCGGTTTCCTTCTTTGCGCAATCATAGGTGTGCGCCCATCTGAGCGTACATTGCCACAAACTGTTATAATCGATGTAACGTAATAATGGATATAACAATGTAATTGACTCCACTTCAAATTCGTTATCATGGGGTTTGAGTGCATGCCTTTATAATTATTTTTGGATGTAATCAACCTATTTTCATGTAAGATGCAAGGTTGTTATAATTAGGTTTAAATGGATATTTTTGAGTAAGTTCCGATGAGCTCCAATTTTATATTATTGCCTAGCAGGTCAGTATGAACACCAGAAACTTTTCGAAAGTTTATTACCTAGGTAATTTTGTGCATTTTAACCTGTCATGTTGTGGGGGTGCTATCACCCCCTGTAAAGTCGTTTGCACCTTGTGGTGCACACGTGTCTCCATATTTCAATTTATCTACCACTGAGTGGTAGGTGGCACAGGGAACATTGTGGACTCTCTTTAGCTCTGGCAGCTGGCTTGGATGGACATCTCCCGCAGCGGGTCTATGGGCAACAGTACCGTGGGTTGTCTCTCTCTGGCCCCTCATGGCGTGTCGACCATTGTAGACGTTACATTCACGTCACCTTATGTTGGTTGTTATGTTGATTCAATGTATTGGAATATTGTATAAGGTATAGTGCATCACTTATGACCTATTTGATTCGGCTGGCGGTATCCTTGTTTGTAAAAGTAGTTGAATAAATGTACACATGTCTGGTTCAGGTGTGTCAACTACGTTCAGGTGTTTCGAGAGCGGCGCTTTTATCTCATGGCCCCACAGTGTGTATTGTCATTATTACGTTTTAACATCCGTATCTGTAACTGAACATTGTTTTTCTTTCTCCTGTGACCCCCACTGGTCCACTCTGTATTTACAGAGCACAAGCGTCGGCGGCTGGACACTGTGAGCAACAGTGTGACCTCGAGTGGTGGCACCAGTGGCAAGGTAGGGGGCAGCCCACGGGCCGGCACTGGTAGCCGTGGTGGTGGCTCCTCCCAGCAGAGCCCCAAGGTGGCGGACGATCTCAAGGTGGCCCCGGGCGGTGAGGATCTGCGCTCTTCGGAGAAGTGGGCCCACCCAAAGGACCTGCATGATGGGGAGAAGACCAAGGCCAAGAAGGGCAGCCGTAAGCGAGACCACTCAGAGGAGAGTGCACCCGAAGGCAAGCGCAAGAAGGATGAGGATGGCCTCTCTGGTGCGGAAACCATTGTATTGTGCCATACATTTAAACCTGCTTATAGCAAACCTCCACATAACGAGTTCCTCGATATAACAAAGTTTTGCGATTCCCCGCCGTTATTCCACAGAAGCACATGTATGTATTTCAATAGCTATAAATCTGGGAATACAGTCAAACCCATTTATAACGAACTCGAAAGTGTCGCGATAACTGGGAATTATATCAGTAGTTTATTTTGTATAGGCTCGACATGGACTTTTTTTCTGTGTATTTTAGTAAGAAATGCTAACAGCCCTTCAGGCGACAAGTTAGGCCTTTTCTCTTTGTGACACCTGCTTTTGCTATCAAATGAATTAATCTGTTTTTCCCAATGAACTCTGGCTTGGTTTCACTTGGCGCCACCGCCATCCCATGCGGCAAAAGTTTACTAATGTCAACTAGAGGGGATTCTGGCGCTGCGAGTGTTCAGTGACCACGGGGACGATCAGTGGTACACGGATTTGCCCAGTCTTTGTACTTGCAGATCCATACTTGTGGCTTCGTACTTGCGGCTTCATTTATTGCTGTTTTTCGCTTTTTGTTGCGAGCGAAAGAATGAACCCTTTTGAACTTTATGAGCCGATTCGAAATGGTAAGCTAAAGAAATAAGGGGTGAAGCGCAACTGCTGAACATTTGCTGATTTTCGTTTAGTGAAAAAACAGCTCTATGCCGCACGAACACACACAGAGCCAGAAGTACGAAGATTAGACAAATCCGTGTACTACCCATCATTCCCATGCTCACTGAAGCACCGTGCGTTGAACCTCCCATAGGCACTAGCGCCAGAGTTCCCTGTAGTGTATACAGTAAAATCTCGTTAGTTCGACCCCCATTAATTCGGAATTTCAGTTAATTCGGCCACGGCGTCTGGTCCTGTCTAAAATGTACATTGTTCTTTGACTGAAAACTCGCAATAATTCGGACAAATACGGCCGCGCTTCTGTTAGTTTGAACGCCCAACCGTGGTTAAGGGGAGACGCGGGTCGAAAAGTCGCGTTTTTTTTCCAAATTTCACCTTTTCTGTTTTTTGTTGCTTTATCATCTTTATACATTATATTTTGACATCTGAAAATATCACAGCGAAATAAGCATCAGAAGTCAGTGAAAAACGCGTCTGAGTGAGCGGCAGTGACGCGCGGCATCACGAAATTTACACAAAACGGGCTGCTGTTCGCGTGCTCGCGGGGCCGCGAAGAGAGCTGTCCGCCATATTGCGGCCACTGGCTCGTGTAGAGTTGTCCTTACTCTCCACGATCCCGGTTCTTGAAGTCTCGTACGTTCACGAAAAATCTAAAAAAAAAGCAACAAAAACAGTCTTTTCCCGCCGTTTCAAACCGCGCGCCACTAACGCAGGGCCGCCATTGGCTGACAGCACCCGTGTTTTCTTGCCGTAGTTCGCTTCACTGTTTTCCGGAGTTATTTTTCGCTGTTTTCGTGCGATGGCAAGCCCGAAAAAGGCCGTTGCCGACCATCGGAAATACAGAAGTAAGAACAAGTTCAGAGGGAAGCGGCGGAGGACGTACAAGAAAGCCACCGCCAACGAAAATGTCCGCGACGGGCCAGCGGCCGGTAGGCCTAACATCGACCACGGCAACGTCGACCATGGCAACTGCGACGACGAGATCAACGCTGCAGTGAATTTTGTGAGTGCATCGCAGAAAAAGATCGCGTTATTCGAAAACGACGTCAGGCCGAATGCCGATCGTGCCGAAAGCGTAGTGCTGTGCGAGTTGGGTGCATTGACGGCCGTCGTCGCAGGCGCGGCATGCCCCGTTTGTCACGAGAGTAAACTCGCAGTTCGGGCACCGAATAAAAAGCGGAAAGGCCTTTCGGCGTTTCTGGAGCTACACTGCGAGAATGCGGAGTGCTCGGAGAGCATCCTTTCGTCCGCGTACTCGTCGAAGCGGGTCGCGTCAGATGGCGGCCGCGGTGCAAGCAGAAGCTACGACAGCGGGAGTTCGCGTGACGCCTTTGCCGTGAACCTGAAAGTGGTGCTTGCAGCGCGTGCCGTCGGTATCGGGCATGAGCAACTTTCACGATTTTGTGCAGTAGTTGGATTGCCAAACCCTATGCACCATAAGACCTTCCATGCTATCGGCAAAAAGATTCACAGTGCGGCAGTGAAGGCTGTCTGTGAAAACATGCAAAGGGCACGCAGCGTCACCAAAGAGGTGGCTGGTAACAGTGACGTGCCAGTCATGTTTGACGGCACATGGCAAAAAAGAGGCCACAAAAGCCACAATTGTGTGGGAACTGTAGTGTCCTTGGACACTGGTTTGTGCCTGGACTATGAAGTGCTTTCCAACTTCTGCCTGGCGTGCAGTTTGCATAACGACATGGGAGGCGATGAAGAAACATGGCAGGCGTTTCATCATCCCGTTTGTGAGAAGAATTGCGACTGTTCTTCGCATGCCATGGAGGCCGAAGCTGCAGTGCGCATTTGGCAGAGGACTGTGGACTATGAGACACCCCTGCGGTTCACCATCTTCCTAAGCGATGGAGACAGCAAGGCCTACAACGGGGTCTGTGATGCCAACGTGTACCCTGACACTCCAATTGAAAAAGAGGAGTGCACCAACCACGTGGCGAAACGTCTGGGCACCGGCCTGCGGAAGCTGCCAACGCCACTTCCACGAGGGGAGAAGCTGAAGGAGACCACCATCCAGAAGCTTCAAACTTACTTTCAGGTGGCCATTGTGAACAATCGGGGAAATGTCCACAAGATGTACACTGCCATATGGGCCTCATGTTTGCACTCGTGCTCAACAGACGGTGCTGGAAGTCACAAGTTCTGTCCTGCAGGCCCAGACTCGTGGTGCAAGCACCGACGTGCTGAGGCGCAGGGCCAGCCTGCACCGTGCCACACCCCCCTCCTGACCAAGGCCCAGGGTTTGGCAGTCCTCCCAATCTACAAGCGTCTCACAGATGCGAAGCTGCTTGCCCGGTGCCTCCACGGCAAGACACAGAACGCGGCCGAGTCCCTGAACAGCAAAATATGGCTGCTGTGTCCAAAGACCCGGTTTGCTTCCCGGACTGCTGTGGAAACAGCCACAGCCATTGCAGTCCTGTGGTTCAACCGGGGCCACGCGAGCTTTGAAAAGGTGCTGGAAGAGCTTGGGGTGCTTCCTTCGGAGGCCCTGGTTACCCTCAGCGACCGCCGAGACAGCATGCGCATGCACAAGATGAATGTGCGTCAAACCGCTGAGGCGAGGGCACACCGTCGCAGTGCAGCCAAGAGGGCCCGGGTGGAGGAGTCCTGCCGCACCAGCCGGGAAGGGAAAACCTACGGTGCTGGAGAGTTTTAGACAACTGATATTCCCTCTGGACATGTGTGTATGTGTTCAGCACAAGTTTCGTGCTACTGCGTTTTTCATTTTTGTAAATACAGACTTTCAAACTTTCAAACGCGTTTTTCTCATTTCGCAATTTTGGCCAATTTGCATTTTTTGCGGGAAGTGTTTCGGGCACTTAGAATGGTCATACGACGACGAAATTTGGCACACACATTGAGGAGAGTGCGTAGGGTGCCGATATCTACTTGAATCAGCACAACCTATCAGCTGTAAATATCTATTAATAAATTTAATGGTGGTCGAGTGGAAAAAAAAGGGTAGTTTGCTACACAGATGTTTTTTTCATAGTTTCAAAGTTGGAGCACAATTTCTAGCTAGATATCGGCACTCTATGGCTAATAGGGAGCAAAAGGAGCCATTGAACAACTCTCTGCATGAACATTTAGTATGCGCGAAAGTTCCCGGAAAACTTATCAAGTTTCACCATTACTTGAAACACAACTCCCAAACTATTGCACTTATGTAAAAACTGATTACAGATTTGGAATCAGGAGGAAAAACTGCATCAGTGGTCCAATTTCTGAAGCTCTAAGTTGAATAACAAAAAAAAAGTGCTTTCGAGGAGCGTCTCCCCTTAAGTCATGATGCGGAAGCAGCAAACGCATTCTGTTGACCAAATCGACGGCGCACTTAAACAACTTTGGGATCTGATTGCGGCCTCCAAGATTCAAAACTTCGGCCATGGGTAGTAGATCTCGGAGGCACAAAAAAAAAAAGAAAACACACACACACATGGTGGTTTAAACAATCAAAATGGAAGGCAGTGTATCGCTACTGTCATCAGCACTGGGCAACCCACCGATTTGCCTTTCCTTTTTTCTTGCACATCGAACACGTTTGCATGACGGTTGAGTTGGATTGCTCACCTCTAGTGTTCTTTAAATTATTTATCTGTACGTGTTCAGTGCCATCTTCAGTCTTACTGTTTGCTGTTTTTTCGAAAAGTTCGCTAGTTTTTATTTCGGTTTTGTCACAGGGTGTTTTTTTTTGTGTGTGTGTGTGTTTGTGTTGTCTACTTCATGCACGCGCGCGTGACCACCGCACGAGCGACGACGGGATGGCTTTCCCTCCGTCTCCTGCGGCCCCAACCGCCCCAACTTCCGCACCGAAGAGGGCGAAGTACGAAGTAAAGGATGTGGCTGCGAAGGTGAAAATATTGAAGGCATTGCATGCGGGAGCATCTCGAAAAGAAGTGATGGAAAAGCTCAATGTGAAGAAAAGCTCGCTGAGCACTTACGTGAAAAACGAAGAGCAGATTATGCAAGCGTATGATGGGGACATGTTTGATGACCAAAGGAAGAGGCTTCGAACGGCAGCGCATTCCAAGCTAGAAGAAGCGCTGTTGCGCTGGATTTCCGTTTCGCATGATGCGCATTTGTCCTTGAGCGGCCTCCTTATCTGCACACAAGCAGAGAAGTTCACAGTGATCATTAACATTGACTCCTTCAGTGCGTCAAAAGGCTGGTTCGACTGCTTCAAGAAGCGACATGAGCTGGTGTTTCGCAACGTGGGTGGTGAAAGAGGTGCGGTTGACGAAACTATTGTGCAGGACTGGCGGTCTGGACTATCTGTGTGCCTTTCTACATACGAGCCGTGCAACATTTTCTATGCTGATGAGACAG